TCCCAAGCCCACAGGCCAGGTGACTCAGTCCCTCAAGGTGCTTGGTTGTCACTGAGAAGCTACTCAAACCTTGTCCCATTAGTCCTATAATGTATCTGGATATTTTTGTAGTACAAGTATACATGTAAGAATATCATCAGTCAAATCTATCTTTCGTCATGGGTATATTCCTGTTCCCCTACCCATAGCCAATCTCACCTGTCTATGCATCTACCTGTAGACCAGTGTTTGTTGTTACAGATAATGCAGTATTGTGTATATAATAGTATTTGCCTCTGTTGGCTATACCTTTTGTTCACCTCTCTGTGTCCTCCTTTTCCCTATTGTTATTGTGCTAGTTACACACTTTTGTTATATTGCCTTTCCCTTCACCCAAATCAACACATGACCTTTAACTAGTCAGAAATTTTCCCTCTCCTTCCCTCCCATCCCTGGTAACCAACAAAGTAACTTTCCTTCCCTGGGTAAAGTTTTCCTTGACTTTCTATAATAATGGACTCAAACAATATTTGTCCTTCTGTGACTGACTTATTTCATTCAGCATAATGTCCTCCATGTTCACCCACCTTATGAGGTGATTCATGGATTCTTCATTATTCTTTAATAATGCATAGTATTCCATTGTGTGAACATACCATGGTTTGATTATCCATTCACCTGTTAATAGGCACTTAGGTTGTTTCCATCTCCTTGCTAGAGTGAATAGTGCTGTGATGAACATGGGTGTGCATAGGTGAAGACAGGTTCTTGACTCTTACCCAAGAAAGCAGCCAGTTACTCCTTAATTCTACCTTCCAGAGAAAGCAACCCTTTCATTTTCATTTGTAATCTCATTTGCCTCCACCCCAGTTTTCCCAATGCCCAGGTCCCAGTGTGGTAAGTAAAATACACAACACCCTGTAAGAGGAGGACCTGACCCATCTGAGGGCAGCTTGCCTTAGCTGGAGCTAGGACTAAGAGGCTTTCTAGGTGCCAAGAGTCAACCCTTTAATTGCTAGACCCTGGAGAGGTCTTAAGGAACTCTGGTGGTGTAATGCCTAAGGCATATGACTGCTAACCAGAAGGTTGGAGGTTCAAACCCACCAGCCACTCCGCGGAAGCAAGACTGGACAATCTACTTCTGTAAAGATTTACTGCCTCAGAAACCCAAAGAGGGTCACTATTGATGACTCAATGGCAGAGTTTGGTTTTGGTCTGGAGAGGTCTTTGGGAGGAGTGGACCCCAGGGGAAGGCCTAAAGCAGAAGGGACACATGGAGAGGGGACTTGGGGCAGTGGCTATATACTATGCAGTATTTTAATACCTGAACAAAATATACCAGTTGATCATCAGCTCTGCCCACTTCCCCTTTGCTTCTCAGGCGCCCCTTTTCCCCTTTCCTTCCCTAGAACACAGAATCTAGATTTTGAGCTAGAAGTAACATAGGGATTGTGTGACCTCTTTCAGAAATGAAGAAACTGAGACCCTCGGAAGGCAAAAGATTAAAAACAATGAGTGGCTTATGAAATCAGGTAAACCTGAGTTTGAATATTGGCACTGCAGCCGTGTAAATTAGTCCAGTGACTTAACCTCTCTGAAATACAATTCTCTTACTTGTACTACCTCAGAGCTTTGCTGTGGCCATTAAATAGACAATATCTTTAAGGCCACTGGTGCAGTTTGACCCATACGTACTAAGGAATAAGTGTGAGCTGAAGTGATGAGGAACAAGTCAGTTAATTAGTGGCAGAGAAGGCAGGACCAAGACCAGTGTCTTGGTTTCAGGTCCATCTCCTGCACTCTCTCTGACAGGGATTGCCATACCCAACTCAGCTTCAGGGTCCCTAACTGCCTAATAAGGAGTTCTGATGGCGTAGTGCCTAAGGCATTTGACTACTAACCAGCAGGCTGGTGGGTCAAACCCACCAGCCATTCCTTGGAAGAAAAACTGGGCAATCCTCTTCTGTAGAGATACTGCCTCGGAAACCCAAGGAGAGGTCACTATGAGTTGGAGTCGACTCGACAAACCAATGAGTTTTTTTTTTTTTTTTTTAACTGTCTAATAAGAGAAATAAGGGACATTTCCTTTCTTAGTTTCAATACTTTCTGAGGCCCCAGGTAGAAATGGAGATGGATTAGTGACCTCTCCAGTTTGGGGGCTTTAGAGTTGCATCAATTTAGAATCTGATTCGGGAAAGTTAGGGTACAGGGAAAGAGATTTGCCTGATGCGACCTCCAAAGATTTATTCATTTATTTACTGATTATAAACTTTATGCTAAGAAACACTCAAGGACTGATTACTGGTTTTTAACTTTATGCTAAGAAACGTGTAAGGTACTGTGGATGATGGTCCACTGAAAATAACATTTTTCAGACTGTGAGCCCTGACTTGTTAGTGGAATGTGAAATCACAACTAGAATTTAAAAAGAAATAGGATAGAAAATATCACAGTGCATCACATATAGAAGGATAAATTCTAGGGCATAACATTTGTTCCAGCTAAAATGTGTGTGGCTGGGTCATGATTTAAAATGTACTACTTACTGTGGATTTTGGGAGCTTTGGTGGCACAGTGCCTAAGGCATCTGACTGCTAACCAGAAGGCTGGCAGTTCAAACCCACCAGCCACTCTTCAGAAGGAAGACTAGGCAATCTACTTCTGTAGAGATATCGCCTTGGAAACCCAAGGAGGGGTGGCTATGAGTCAAAACCGACTTGAAGGCAGTGAGTTTGGTTTGATTTACTGTGGATTTTGATTAAAAAAAAAAAAAAAAAAAAATGTTGCAAGCCCCTGAGCTAGAAGGTAAGTTTCAGGAGAGCAAAAGCTTTGCTTTGTTTTAGACTAGCACCTGGCATTTGTAAGTGGTGTACAAATAAATGTTGAATGAGTGAACGTCTCACACTATTCCTGCCTTCAAGAGATTACTTTAGTCAGAAAAATAGGAAAAGGTAAATATCACAGGCTTTATAATACTAATATCAGCCTGAAACAAACTAATAATGTGAATATACTGAAGGGAGAAAAACATAAAAGAATTCTAAAAAGTGTTGGAATATCTCATTTTGGCAGATTTCAGTCATCAATATGAAGTGGTAAGAAAACAAAACCAAACCCCACTGACCTGAGACCTAAGAGCCAGGAGACCTGGTTCAGTAACAGTGACTCCGGGCAAATCACATGATCTCTTTACTCAATTTCTTAATTCGAAAGATGGGAATGCTCTAATAAGTCCTCCTGCCACACAGGGCTGTGTGAAGACCAGATGAGCGTGTGCATTTTCAGGGTGATTTGCAAACTGTAAAACATTATTGGGAACAAAAAACAGGGATTACTGAGTTGAAGTGAGTATAGAATCCTTTTTAGGGGCTTAATTAGTAAGTAAATATTTATCAAGCTAATGTTTACTGAGGGCTTTCCTTTACAAAGCTCTTCCTTTTTAGATGCTTTTTCAACTATTGTTATTACAATGTAGAATCTAAACTCCCTAAGAAAAAGGTGTGGGCTGGCTATCTTAGCTCCATCTTCATAACTGCACATAGCAGTCACTCAGCAGATACTTCTGAATGAAGGAAAGAAGGAAAAAACTTAATTAGGAGTTTATGACTTTTGGAATTAGCCCTGGAGGTGCAGTGGTTAAGCTCCTGGCTGCTAACCGAAAGGTTGGTGGTGGGTTTCAGTGGTTGAAACGCATCAGCTGCTCTGCGGGAGAAAGATGTGGCACTCTGCTTCCTTAAAGATTCCAAAAACAAAACAAAACCCACTGCCATCTAGTCGATTCCAACTCATAGTGACTTCTGTTGGGTTTCCAAAGTGGTAAATCTTTACAGAAGTAGATTGCCAGATCTTCCTTCACAGAGTGGCTGGTGGGTTTGAATTCACCAACCTTCTGGTTTGCAGTCAAATGTCTTAGACACCGTGCCACCAGAGGTCCTTTCCATAAAGATTACAGCCTTGGAAACACGATGGAGCAGTTCTACTTTGTCCTTTAGGGTCACTATGAGTCGATACCGACTTGGCACACAACAACGAATTTGAGCTTATTTAGCAATGCTAATCTCCATTTTGAAGGAGTTCTGGTGGTGCAGTGATTAAAGCATTTGACTGCTAGCCCAAAGGTCGGTGGTTGGAACCTACCAGCCCACTGCGTGAGAGAAAGATGTGGCAGCCTGCATTGGCAAAGATTACAGCCTTGGAAACTCTATGGTGCAGTTCTACGGAGTCGCTATGAATAGGAATCAAATCCGTGGCATTCTAACTGAAAGGATGTGCTCAAGTTCTGAGTAGGGTCTGCAGACAGAAAAAAAGTGGGGGGAGGTGTGTGACAGCAGCAGTACCTTCTGGAAGCTGGAGTTCACGAAATCAAGCTGCTGCCCTAAAGGATGTCCTTAAGGGCAATTAAGTTAGAGACGAAGCAATACGCAGAGACAATACCCACAGAGCAGCACGCAGGTCATCTGTAACTGGTCTCAAAAGAAGGGCAGGGCAGGGTCACAAGCACTCCACGAGTACCGCGAGTGTGCCAGTTTCTGTGCTGGTTGTAGTGAAGAGCAGAGCGGAGCATGCTTCTCCCTTTGGTGGGAAAAGTGGTGACCCAGAAGTCACTGCCTGCAGCCTGTCGGTAGAACAGACACAGGGTTGTGAAGGTTCCAGTGAGGGTCTAAATCAGCAAAGGATAGTGTGAACTGAACTGGTAATACAAATCTTGACGGAGCTGAGACTTAAATTGGACTTGGTGGGAGTTGGAACGCGTTAAGAGAGCAAGGTTTGAGGAAAATGTTTTAGAAAAATTTGTAGAAACCTATGACCCTCGAAGGAAGGCTGCCAAAGTGAGGTAACCTTGGGTTGATGTGCGTAGGTGGCAAAAGGTTCCGGGGAATGGTTTTACGACTCCGCCTCCCAGCGCCAGAGAAGAAAGATCCTGCTTTGAGACAATACCTGGATTTGGTTTTTCTCCAGTTGAGGGACGGGGTGGGAGGGGCCAATGTCAGTGGGCAGGATCACGTGGGCTCGCCCTAGAGCGACTAGAGGCCAGGCGAAGGGGCGGGGTTTCCGGCAGCTGCAGCGCTCGGGCGGCGGGTGACGCTGGGAGGACGAGTCGTCACGTGACACGGAAGTGACTCCGAACAGGAAGAGGACGAAAAAAATAACCGTCCGCGACGCCGAGCCGAACCGGACCCGCAGCCACCATGAACAGCAAAGGCAAGGATAGGGGGAGCCTTAGGGCGTCGGGGGGAGTAGTGCTGGCTCGGATCGAGTGGGTCTCGAGTCCATGATCACCAAGCGACAGGGTTGGGGCGGGTTGCGCTGCTCTCCTTGGCCGTTTGTAGCCTTGGGCTGCGCCTGATGTCTTCGTCATTCCCGATGTACAGCTGCTCGCCCCCTCCGGGCCTTTTCTCCTTAAACTCTGTGGCGCAGTTTAGAGCTGCGGACTCGGGTGGGGTGGGGGGGGGGTTGTTGTGATGGACATATACAAGAGCAAATGGGGAACTAGAGCAGGGATTTAGGTAGGCCAATGGAGAGCCGACGGGGGCGGGGCGCCGCGCTCCGGAACTACCGGCAGGCCCCCGGGCTTAACTAATGAGGTGCCGGCGCCCAAAGACTGGCCAGAGCCTACAGGGTCCGTTTTTCTAGTCCTTTCTCACCACCTTGTCCTTCGCTGGTGGGCCACAACTCTCCCCGTTCCTGTGATCGTACCAGTGTATCTGTCAGAACAGCCCCCAGCTTCTCCCTCGTCCTCAGTCAAAACTTTCCCCTCAATCTGCTTGGAAAGTGTACCTTTATCTTCAGCCCTTCACCGTTTTCCCGGTTTGCCGTTCACTCAAAGCATTCACTCTATTTGGAAGTCGACCTTGAACAGAAAGCTGTGAGGTGAACAGTCATTATCAACCTTACAGCCAGCCCTGTGGAGACCAGCTAGGGTAGCAGCAGGATACATCGTTGAAAGATCAGCAAGCCTGAATCACGAGATTCTAGACCCGTTTTGCATTCTGGAGGAACATGGATCCTGCTAGACTTTCTCCTTACAGTAGTATGCTGGCAGAAACAGTGCCCTTCCTGCCCAGTCAGAATCCAGCACTTCAGTTTCTAAGGATGCGAGGAGAATGTTTTGTTGGTCCCAGGAATGAGTCCCTTCTGTTCAGTCTGTCCGCAAATCCTTCCTGCATGTTCCCAGTAGGTTAACTACCCAACATACCCTGCCCCATTTTGTTACCTCTGCATGGTGGGCAACAGAGTTTTATTTTTTTGTCTTCCAGGTCAATATCCAACGCAGCCAACGTACCCAGTGCAGCCTCCTGGGAATCCAGTGTACCCTCAGACCTTGCATCTTCCTCAGGCTCCACCCTATACTGATGCTCCACCTGCTTACTCTGAGGTGTTTCCAGTTTACTAGACTTAAGTAGTTGAGAATATGCTTGGACCACATTTTCAGTTCTTAGCTAAATCTGACCCTACATCTTTTGATCTTCAGAAACAGAAGGATACACATATGAATTAACAAAAACATAAGTTCAGCAATTTCTGTTGTGCTTGAGAATGCATTATATAATTATGTTATTTGGTACAGGCTGAGGGTAAGATGAATTTGCATTCCTTGAGCCAGACATTTGTGTATGTTGTAATATGCCGTCTAGTTGATTTCGACTCATAGTGACCCCTCCTCAGGTTTCTAAGGCACTATCACTATGGAAGTAGATTGCCCATCTTCCTTCTGAGGAGTGGCCAGTGGGTTTGAACCACCAGCCTTCTGGTTAGCAGTCAAATGCCTTAGGCACTATGCCAGAGCTCCTGAGCCAAACATTAGCTATCTCAATTAATGATCAGGAAAACACTTAGTGGCAGTGAAAAGGCAACTAGTGTAATTTACGGAGTGTAATAGCCTTGGAAACCCTGCAGGGCAGTTCTCCTTTGTCTTGTAGGGTCACTACGAGTCAGAATCAACTCCACGGCACTGGGTTGGTTTGTTTTAATCTGCATCAGGAGCATTAACTCGTTGAAGAGATTTGAAATAACAATGTCATAAAGTAATACTTTCCCATCTTCTTCTGCTTCTTCTAGCTCTATCGTCCAAGCTTTGTGCATCCAGGGGCTGCCACAGTCCCCACCATGTCAGCTGCATTTCCTGGCGCCTCACTGTATCTTCCCATGGCCCAGTCTGTGGCTGTTGGGCCTTTAGGTTCCACAATTCCCATGGCTTATTATCCAGTTGGCCCTATCTATCCACCTGGTTCAACAGTGTTGGTGGAAGGAGGGTATGATGCAGGTGCCAGATTCGGAGCTGGGGCTACTGCTGGCAACATCCCTGTGAGTATGACTTCATCAGAAAAAAAACAAAAGAAATGCAGTTCTTCTTGTGTATTAACTTTCTGAAAGGACTTTATATTCATCCATTTCACTTTTCCTGGATAATAGTTGCCAGTATTAGTATAACCACTGACATCTTCTAGTCTGGCAGAAAGTGGTTTAGAGGGCAGAGCTGTGGAAGTCATTAGCATCTGGCATATTCACCAGGGAGCTCAGTCACATTCTAATTTAACCAGACTCCTTTATTTTCTTGTCATATGCTTCTTGGTTGCTGCTTTAGCAACTTTGTGAGTTGGTACAGTAAACTGGTTTATAACACACTATTCATCCCGTAAGCATTTACTTAGTATCTGCCACCAACATCTGGAAACCTTGTTTGAAAAGTAGAATGCAATATACCTGTTAGGTAGCTTTTAGGAAGAGTAATACAATTGGCCAACTTTGTTTTGGGACATTAAGAAGTTCAGTTAATTATGTCTTCTGCTTGGATCCCTTATGCATGGGGTTTAAAGCCCAAATAGTGCCATCTACTCAGTAATCATATGCTAGAGATAAGCTAAGAATGGTGCCTTCAATGATTTGTTTCAAAACTATCCAGGGACCCTGTGGGATAGGGCCACAGACTTAGCACCCCTTCCCTGTTTTGGAAATATAAGTGGGAGTGATTTCCTACCCTGAAGATAACTGACTATAGGTCTGGACTGCCCACAGTTACTAGAAGGTATCCATAGGCTTCATCTTGGAGCTGGAACCCTTGAATGAGTGATAGGCTCCCTTTCCTGTTTGTATCTTTGGGTTCACAGAAAATATAGAACTGCTTTAAAACCCGAATTGGTGGTAGAACTAGCTCCTTAAAATGCTATTGGTCTAACAGGCCTCCTCTGAGTCACCTGTGTCCCCTTTCCTGTTGCCCACTGAAACTTGTCCTTTCCTTTCAGCCTCCACCCCCTGGATGCCCTCCCAATGCTGCTCAGCTGGCAGTCATGCAGGGAGCCAATGTCCTTGTAACTCAGCGGAAGGGAAACTTCTTCATGGGTGGCTCAGATGGTGGCTACACCATCTGGTGAGGAACCAAGGCCACCTCTGTGCCGGGAAAGACATCACATACCTTCAGCACTTCTCACAATGTAACTGCTTTAGTCATATTAACCTGAAGTTGCAGTTTAGACACATGTTGTTGGGGTGTCTTTCTGGTGCCCAAATTTTCAGGCACTTTTCAAACTTAATAAGGAACCATGTAATGGTAGCAGTACCTCCCTAAAGCATTTTGAGGTAGGGGAGGTATCCATTCATAAAATGAATGTGGGTGAAGCAGCCCTAAGGATCTTCCTTTAATCCCTCTGGAGTAATACTGTACCATACTGGTCTTTGCTTTTAGTAATAAAACATCAAATTAGGTTTGGAGGGAACTTTGATCTTCCTAAGAATTAAAGTTGCCAAATTATTCTGATTGGTCTTTAATCTCCTTTTAAGTCTTTGATTTATATTACTTGTTATAAATGAAACGCATTAGTTGTCTGCCTTTTCCTTTCAATCCAGTGTCCCATGTCCCACCCCAAACCCCAGTCTACCATTCCCTCCTACCAGTCTCCATCGAATCAATGGTGCAGGACAGAAAGCCAGTCAGACTAATTTTCTTCTTTCCCTGCACTTCTCCCCACTTGTCATGTTTTAAATAGTCATTCACAAGGATCCTCTGAAGCTCTCTGTGCTTTAGCACAGACCCCATTACTTCTGCTTTTGCATCTCCTCAGGCAAAAATGGAGGGTGCCATTTAGATTTTTTTTTTTTTTTTTGGAGGGGGTCCCCTTCTCATACATTGTTGCCTCTCCATACCAGAACCAGATTTGCTCTGGTGCCAGAAAAACAGCTCATATCTGAACAAAAGGTATCAATGCAAACTGTACTTAAACAGTTTGTTTAAAATAGGAGGGATGAGAAGGATTCATTTCAAAAGCCTGGTGACTTTAGAGCCAAATTAAGGGGAGTTTTCAGATCAAAAATTGGTTACCATTTACTGTCAATGTGTCTGATGTAGCCACTCATAGCTCCCAAGAATTCCTCAGCTGGGTTAATAGGGTCATATGGTGAATGCTTCACTATAAAATGACTTGAGTCCAGTGACGTCTCATTAGGGTGAAGAATATTTCAGGGATCCTTAATATTTTGTTTTCTGAAATTGGATTTTGTTTTATCTTATAATTTCAGTTCATCTAAATTTGTGTTCTGTACATGTGATGTTTGACTGTACCATTGACTGTTAATGGAAGTTCAGCGTTGTATGTCTCTCTCTACACTGTGGTGCACTTAACTTGTGGATTTTTTTATACTAAAAATGTAGAATAAAGACTATTTTGAAGATTTGAATAAAGTGATGAAGTTGCATTACACCTCACTCCAAGGATTCTTTACTTAGCTTGCTTTTAGATCTCTTCTGTATTCTTTTATATTCTACTTAGAATTCAGAGAGGTACTGTTGTTGTTCTGTTTTCGTTAATCAAACCTTTGAAATAAATGCACTAGTAGAAGGCTAAGGTTTGAGTATTTTCATGAGTTCCATTCTGGATGTTAACTCTTCTTCACTTTATTTCCTAAGATCTTTCATATTCTTAAAAATCTGTTATACCAGGGGATTCAGAACCTAAACTTTGAAGCAAGGGAATACGTGATTCTCCTAACTTACACAAGTTTGGCTTGAAAATGTCTTGATATAAGTTGTATAACTTCAGGATGGACCTTCATTTTCTCCAGAGTTCTGTGTGGAGAAATACTGAAAACTGTAATCTAGGCTGGCAAGACAGTCCTTACCACCTTAAACAACAGACTTAATACATTAAGACCTGAAAGGAGATCTAGCTTAATTTCAAAGTAAATAGTAAACTGGGGAGCTAAAACATTTCACCTTTTTAAACACACCTCATTTTGCGACCAAGATCCAAGAAGGTTCTTTGGGGTTGATTCTGAGAACACTGGTGGGAAAAGGTAATAGATTTTTCTTAGTTCCCTCAGTCATACACAGAGGTTGTTCTGGGAAATCTGGCTCTTGTTAGGATAGAAGCTAAATTAATCTCCCAAGGTATGCGTGCCGGGACCATCTTTGTCCCAAACCCCTGACATAATTCTGGGACCTTCTAAAACTTCCTTAGATTCTTAACGCTTGGGAGGGTATATCCTCAGAGCTGTTAGATAAGCAAAAGAAAGTCATGTCAAAAAGCTTAAGTGGGATAAACTGAAATGTAAAGGTGGTTATTTCATGTACATGAGAACCTGATTTCTGTATTACTTATTGAAAACTTTTAATTCTAATAAAAATAGTACAACAAGTGGTTGGATAATAGGAAGGAAGGGCTCAGATGAAAGTATGTAGCACGTTCATCAGGAGGTAAGGTATCCATGGTCTCCCTCTACCCCTCTTGACCTGTTTCTTCGCCAATGTCCAGCCTCTAGGAGAAACAATGCTGGGGCTATCACTAGGTGACCAGATAGAGGGACAAAGTGGAGCAGCCAGCAACCCTAACTTCTCCCATGCCTCAACCTGTGAAGAAAGTGAAGATGACTGGGCATATACTCAAATGTTTCCTAGTATAGGCCTTGTTGGCCAGTCATAAATACCAGCTATATTACAAAGGCCTGGCTAAAGACTTAAGTTGCTTTCTCTGTGTTCCTAATGTCAATGATGTTGACATCTGGGCCTGTGACCTGGAGGGAGCTCAGATTCACCCATAGGAATGAATGCTTCTCCTTGGCATCAGATGAAACTTTCACCTAATAAACAGTCCATGTGTTAGTGCTGGAGCCTGGGATAAGCTCCTTGGGGCCCGGAACTCATTAGATGAAATACTCCTCCTTCTCCCTGCCCTTGGCTGAGTCACTTTCCATCTGGAGGATGGCGCTGGGCTCGCCTCCTGTAGGTTCGTAGGTGATGTAGCTGCCTTTGTTCTTGTACAGGTAAAAGAAGATCAAGACCACGACTGAGAGTAGTGTGAGGAAGACCACGGTGATCACAACTTGAGAAGGAGAGGGGAAATGTAGAGTTTACAGGATTGAGGATGTCTCAGAATTCAATGGCTCACCCAAATTATACAATTTCCCCGCTTTTTTCTTAAGGATCCTCCTGTTTTAATTAATTAGTGTCCACTTCCAAATCCATACTCCTACTAAGTTCAACTTCCATGGGACACATCTGGAGTCTCTAGGTGCCTAAACTAAAGTCAAGGCTTTTGATTTTTGACAAAATGGAACTCCCAACCACTTCCTGATACTATGATAGAAACATGAAGGAGGGAAATAGGAAATAGCTTATCTTAACAGGAAGGGTTTTTGTTAAATCCAATCTCCTGTAGGGGCTTCTCTGATCCCTCCCATCTTCCTCACTCACTCAACAAACCACATACATCCTCATCCCTACCCACATGCTCTTGAATATACTGCCCATATATACCTGTTATCTATTTGTAGCCACCTTCCAACCTATCATTTACTGGCAGCATCTCTCACAGAAGGCTCTAAATCTTTTTATAACCTCATGTAAGATAACCCACATGCCAAAATGAGCCTGTTAATGGATTTGGTCCCTGATGTTGTGGTGCTATTCCTGTGTGGAGAAAATCCTAGCTCATCACACTGGGTTTCAGGCTGCCTCTGGTGTGAGATGGCCCCTAATTCCTAAAAGTCACTTGGATTTGGCTCTGAACCTTTTTTACCTGCTATGAGTGCTGTGCCGGCTTCAGCTTCCGGGGACAGGGCCTCAGTGGCCTGCAAAATTGGGGTGGTCATCAGTTCTTCCCCTGGCAAATTTAGAAAAGTGGAAAAGGAAGATGGGGTCATTCTTTTGTTTCAAAGCAGGTATTTGTGCTTCCCATTTTACCACTTTCTTCCCTGTTCAAAAGTTTTACCATTGCACTCCTTATAGTAAATTCATATATAAAAATCTGGAGAATAGAGAAGAACATAAAGCAGCATCCCAGAAACAACATTTTGGCAGTTTTCTCTCTGTTTAATGAAGTGCTTCAAAGTACGAGCTCTAGAGCTCTGCCCTTTACTAGCTATGTGACCTTGCAAAATTCCCTAACCCTTCTATGCATCAGTTTCCTAATTTGCAAAATGGAGATAACAGAACCTACTTCAAAGAGTTGTTGTGACAGTTAAGTAACTCAGTTAAGAGTTGGCTACTACTAGGAATGGGAGCTCTCGTGGTGTAGTGCCTAAGGCATTTGACTGCTACCCAGAAGGCTGGAGGTTCAAACCCACCAGCCACTCCACGGAAGGAAGACTGGGCAATCTACTTCCATAGTGATACTGCCTTGGAAACCCAAGGAGGACTTGCTGTAAGTCGGATCCAACTTGATGGCAGTGAGTTTGGTTTGGTATTTTGGTACTTCTAGGAATGATGAGAACAAATGATGAATGTATATACTTCTCATACTTTATGGCTCAGGTATTTTTCAATGTTCGTATAGTCTTTTTGAAAGCAGAAACAAGGACCTTTACCCTAAAACATATCTGGCAACCCCCTCCTGTTATGGGTCTAGCTGTCCTCAGAGCCTGAAAGCCCGACACGTATAGTTGTTACCCAGAACACTACAAAGCTAATGGTCTCTGTGGTTGTTGCCATTGCATCACCCCTTCTCCCCATTACCGGGGTCCCTAGGAACAATGGAAGGAAAAGTTGCCTGGTCTTGTGCCATCCCCATAATTAGTTGCAGATAGGACCGTTGTGAGCCATAGGGCTTGCATTGACTAATTTTTTTTTTTTTTTGGGGGGGGGAAGTAGATCACCAGGCTTTACTTCTCAGTCTGTCTCAGTTTAGAAGCTCCGTCAAAACCTGTTCAGTAGCACAGCACGCCTCCACTGACAGATGGGTGGTGGCTGCACAGGAAGTGCACAGACCAGGAATTGAACCTGGGTCTCCTGCATCGAGGGCAAGAATTCTACCGCTGAATCACCAGTTTCCCCAATGGAGTCTACAAGTCCCTTTAAGGGTATACTCAGTAAGAGAGGAAGTCCTTCAGTTATCTTCTAAATAACATTTTGGTGTAGAGGTTTGGAAAGGTAATAATTAGGCAGAGGTTACTGCAGGACAGAGGTATCCTGGGGAAAACAGGCTGGCTGACCCTGGAACCACCCACAGAAAGTATCTCAGTAAATAATTCAGTGAAGTATAACATTTACAAGTTTTATCATTCAATAAATAATAGCAGCACTCATTAACTGCCTCCTCTTTGTAGACACTGTGCTGGACACACTGGGATCCAATGATGAGCAAAACAGACATGGCCGGCCTCCCTCGAACCTGCCTACCCTCTACCACAGCACAGTTCACCAAACTGCAATAGGTTTGGAACTCTTAGAAAAGCATATGCTGGAGACTAGATCTGATTGAGTCTTCCAGTCAAAAATGACCTCCCACGCCGTGGGGAATGTAACCAGTATCACAAAACAAAATGTATAGGAACTGTTGAGTGTAAAATTAATCTGCTTTGTAAAACTTCACCCAAATCACAATAAAATGTTTAAAAAAGAGAAAGAAATGACCTCCCAAGGAAGTAATATTTGAGCTAGGTGGGAGCTGAAGCGGGGGTGGGAGTTTACTGGGAAAAAGGTGTGGGGCACACCCTCAGCAGACGGAAGAACGTGGGTCAAAGCTCTGAGACAAGAAGGCTCAAAGGTTCCAGAGTTCAGAGTGTGAGCATGATGCCTGGGTGGTTTCCATCTCACCGTCATTGGGTGCCACAGAGTCAATTTTGACTCATAGTGGTCCCATGTGACAGAGCAGAACTGCCCCTGGGGGTTTCTTTGGCTGTATTCTTTACAGAAGCAGATCACCAGGTCTTTCTCCATCAGAGTCACTGGATAGGTTTGAACTGCTAACCTTCTGGCTAGCAGCTCCTAACCATTGTGCCACAAGCGCTCCTTCGTTTCCACCCAGGACAAGTGAGTGACATTAAGTCAATGGTGGTGGTCTGATGAGCCTGGCAGCAGTGCTAAGAGCCCAGTGGTGTGGTAGGAGCCTTTCACCTAGGCCAAGGGGCAATCTGATGACCATCCTGGTCCTGCATCACAGAAAGCAGAGCTGGGCTACCTAGAGAGCCTCCACCTCCCCAGGCCAGGCCAACCCCTTCCCTACAGTTCTCCACTCTCTTTTCTTTAGGAATGGTAACATACTCAGCCACTCTGTAGACGTGGGCAAATGATTACATCTCTGATTCATTCATCCATTCCTCTGCTCTTTACCAAAGAGAATCATATCAACTTACTTAGGGTTAAGGAGCCCTTGTGGTTTAGTTGTTAAGCATGCAGTTGCTAACTGAAAGGTCAGTGGTTCAAACCTACCAGCCACAGTGCAGGAGAAATATGTGGCAATCTGCTTCTGCAAAGATTACAGCCTTGGAAACCCTGTGGGGCAGTTTTACTCTGTTCTACAGGGGTGAGATAGGGTCTTTATGAGTTGAATCCACTTGACGGCAACAGGTTTATTTTGCAGAGTTACTGTGAAGATTAAATCAGAGAATGTATATGCATTATATAGCAGCTACTACTTAAAATATTATACAGTGAAACCTGGGAGAGCTGGAACTCAACGGGAACCTGACTGCAAGTTTTTCGTCTTTGACGTGGTGCTTTTCTATCACTTTGCATTAGAATCCTACCCCATAAACACTCAGTGATCCTTCTGTGACAGATTTCTACCTTACACAGTTTCTGACCCTTGCAAGTTTTACTGTATAAGGTGACTTTGTTGAAATGTTTAGTGATTAAAATGGAAGGCTGCTCTGGGTTTGAATCCTGGTCCAGGTATTACTAGGTGGCCCTGAGGAAGTTACTGAACCTGAATCTCAGTTTCTTGACTTGTAAAATGGGAATGTGGCAGGTGGCTTCTGAGATGGTTCCCGACGAGCCCCCTCCTGGTATTTATACCCCTGCATAATCCCTTCCCCTGGTGTATGGGCTGGATCCAGTGACTCTCTTCTAAGAAGTCACTTCCCAGCTTAGATGATAAAGCACTGTGATTGGTCTTACCCACATACTCCCTCTCTCTGCCTGGCTCTTCTTGCTTGCTCACTCTGATGAAGCAATCTGCCATGTTGTGAGCAGCCTGGAGGAAAGAGTAAGGAATTGGGGGCAGCCTTGGGCCAACAACCACCAAGAATCACCACCAACAGCCTCAGTCCAACAACCCAAAAAAGCCAAGCCAGTTGCCATCTAGTTGGCTCTGACTTGTAGTGACTTCATGTGTGCAGAACTGCACCCTGTAAGGTTTTAAGGCAGTGACCTTTCCGAAGGAGGTCTCTAGCCCTTCCTTCTGAAGCACCTCTGGGTGGGTTTGAACTGCTGACTTGTCAGGTGGTAGTCAAGCACTCAGGGATTTACCACACTCAGGGATTCTCCAACCGCCCATGAGGGTGACTGCAGCCTTGGCCCAAGATACCTGGATTGGGTCTTATGAGACCCCTTGAGCTAAAGGGCCCAGCTAAGCCAAGCCCAGATAAGAAATGATGTTGTTTAATGCACTAAAGTTTTTGGTTAATTTGTCACAAAGCAGTATGTAACCAATACAGGAGGAAATAATAGCTCTTCATAGCAGCAGGGCAGTGAAAGAGTCAGAGGTAGGAGTAAGGGGGATGAGGTATGGGGTCTCTTCCTCGCTTCCCTGCACCACTCATACTCTGTTCTTCTTCTTTCTCCAAGTTTCTATTCTAGTCCCATCGCTACCTGTGGTAGTTATGTCAACTTAGCTGGGCCTGGCTGAGTGGCTGGGCAGCTGGTGGTAGTTATTCCCCACGATGAGACTGGCAATCAACTCCATGGTGGGATCTACCACAAGCAGCAGAGTAGCTGCCTTTGGGTCTGCTTCCCATATATAAGCAGCAGCTTTGGGAATAGTCTCTAGCTTATGGCACACTTGGACCCTGCGTGTAGCCGTGTCATTGTTCAGCAGCCTGCCATGCTCTTCTGACCTTGGGACTTACAGTGGACTTAAATTTATAGACTGCCATGTGGTTTGGTAACATCGGGACTGTGCCTTTTTATTTGTCGACCTTGGGATTGTTAGCCTCAGCAGCCAGTAGCTGCCTGAGTGAAGAGATGCCTCTAGCTTCAGTGGGCCGGAAGCAAGAGGCAGAGCTAAAGCCCAAGGTCGAGGGGCTTTCACCCAGCCCCTAGAGCCTGGCACTTTGAACTTGGACTTTTAGACTCCACATTGTGAGAGAATGAACTCTTGTTTGTTAAGGCCATCCCATTTGTGGTATATTCTTGTCAGAGTGGTACTAGGTAACCAGAACACTACCATTCCAAACACTGCAAATCCCAGCTATATAGAGAATTTGGACCTATCTCCTAGCCCAGCACTTTGTTATACCCCATCTTCCCACCACTGGTATCTAGAGTTCTGTACAGTTACTCCCAGTTTTGCCTTTCTGAAGCATATGAAAACCTAAGATATCAAACTACTGAGAATAACAATACATGCACAGGAGGTTAAATATAAAGACAGGTAAGAGTCAGTTAAGATCCCCAGGTGGTACAGACAGTTTGCACTTGACTGTTAACCTAAAGGTTAGCAGTTCAAACCCACCCAATTGCACCACAGAAGAAAAGCCTGGAGATCTGTTTCCATTAACAGATCTCCCACAGAGTAGCTGTACCCTGTAACACATGGAGTCGCCATGTGTTGGGATAGACTCAATGGCAGCTAACAACATGATTCAGCAAATCAATCAACAATTCACTTTACACCTGTCATATGCCAGAGCACTGTCACAAATCCTGGGACACAGCAGTGAACAGATCAACAGATCAAGGGACCTGACCATGGAACTGAATTCTAGTGAGGGTTTAGAGAACAGAAAAATATGAGCCTCTAGAAAGACACCTGGAAGGGAAGAGGAGCCTGGCTGGGAGGTTTTGCAAATGATCCCAATTATAACAGCTGCTAGTTCCCAAACCACTGCTTTGTGTCAGGTGCTTTATGTAGATAATTATTAATTATTACAACAGCATTCCCTTCAAAGCAGGTGTTTTATTTGCTGGTGTGTACCCTGAGACTCAGAGAGCTAAGTGACCTGCTTCATACAATGTACAAAGTAATAGTAGATGGAGTCAAGATTTGAATCCAATACTATCAGCTCCAAAGCCCAAGCAAGGTATCTATATTAAACCTTCCTGCCATTGTCTTTTTTTAAAAAAACTTTCCAATGGGATAAAGAGGAAGAGATAATGAAAGCTATCTATGAGGCAGCACAGCAAGCTTTCCAAAAAGTTCAAGCAAGGGTTCAAAAAATATGGAGAAAGGTAGAAGAAAACCAGACCACAATCAAATACAAGACTGTGCTGAAAGGAGTGCTCCTTGAACTTGAGTTCACTCATAGGCAAGTTACAGAGGAATGACGTCAGTGTAATGTGGAAGTTATGTTGCTTTGTATGCAACTTCCACAGCTTTAATGTTTGGCATTATCAGGGATAAGAGTCTTCACAACTAAAGAGAGCACTAAGCCATTTAGAAAGACCTGAAGAAAAATACAGGAAGTTCTACAGAAGTGCCTTCTTTTGGTACAGTTATTAGGTGATTTCTACAAATGTTAAGGAACCGTGGTGGTGCACCCCATTAAACACTTGGCTGCTAAGGGTTTAAACCCACTCAGTGCCTCTGTGGGAGAAGGACCTGGCAATATGCTTCCATAAAGATTAAGACCTAGAAAACTCACCGGGCATTTCTACTTTGTCACACAGGGTTGCTGAGATGAAATCGATTCAATGGCACACAATAACTTACGTTAAACCTTCAGGTGAAGCAGTTAAGTGCAGATGAGGAAAGCACAAAGAAATTTCCCTTGATAATAACACACTGGATTAATGAAGAAGACAGCTCCTAGATCAGAACTTTCTCATGAAAATGGTCTCTATTAGAAGTGAGGGCTCTCTGGAACCAATTTCTAAAAGGAGGAAGCACACATCCAGGCACCCAGGGTTGGAGGCTGCAGAGGTCTGACTGGGATTCTAGGTTCAACTGCTTAAAAGCCAAAAACCCACTGGTGCAGAGTCAACTGCAACTCCTAGTGACCCCAGTTGGGTTTCCAAGGCTGTAAATCTTTGTGGAAGTAGACTACCTCATCTTCCTCCCACAGAACAGCTGGTGGGTTTGAACCACCAACCTTCTGGTTAGCAGGCAAGTGCCTTACCCACTGTACCACCACCAGAGGTTCAAATGCTAGTGGAAGTTTAACTCTGACACCATTTTTACTAGGATTATTATTGTATGAGGGCTCTGGTTACAATATTACATAAAATTTTCGTTGTCTGCCCAATCCTGTTTTTCCTATAAATTCTCTTATTTTTAAGTATGATATTTCAGAAGTTGAGTCTTCTAAAAAATGCACATAAAGTTTTATAGAGGAAGGTTAGAAGACTCAGAAGTCAGAGACTCAGAAGAACAGTGTCAGGAAGCTGTATATCACTCAGTTGGTAAACAAATTTGAAGGAAAATTTAAAAAGTATTATATTTGGAGCCAGAACAAGGAAAGGGCTAGGCTTGCTACTCGGGCCTCAAAGTGTCAGGTTGATGGTAAAATAGAAAGCAGAACTCCCCCAGACCTTTTTACTTTTGCTTGTCAAAACACTAAAGAACAGCAGGAATACGGGGAGGTGAGCTCAAGAGAAAGGAAGCAACCCAGAGAGTACCAGGCTATTTAAAAGAGATCCACATAAATGACAGCCAAGGATACAGCTGGTGACTTAAACAGAGGGACTAGGAATTTGAAGAGCTAATGGGAAGAAGGTATATTGTGCACACAACACACTGGTGAGCTGGATGTGGTTCCCTAGCAAAATTCTAGAATAAGTTATTAAGGCCTAATTTAGGGACCTTGTCATATATTGAATTGTGCTCCCCCAAAAGTATGTGTCAACTTGGCCAGGCCATGATTCTCAGTGGTTTGGCAGTTAAGCCAAATATATGCATATATCAGTTATGCAGTGACATAATCTGGCAGTTATGTAATGATGGAATCATTCCCCATGATGTAATCTGATGTGATCAGCCAATGAGCTGTAAGGGGTTTAGGGTAGGATGCAATACCTTACATCAACCTGATATGATGTAAGGGGAATTTCCCTGGGGTGTGGCCTGCATCACCTTTTACCTTACAACAGATAAAAGGAAATAGAAGGAGGGACCTGACTACCGTTAAGAAAGAAGGGACAGGAGCAGAATGTGTCTTTTGGCCTTGGGGTCCCTACCTTGAAAACCTTGTAGAACCAGGGGAGGCTTGATGCCAAGACACATGGAGATCTCCAAGGAATGTTGGGCCCACAGATGTTGAAAGGACACAAGGACCTTCCTCTAGAGCCAACAGAGACAGAGCCTTCCCCTAGAGCCAGCACCCTGACTTTGGACTTCTAGCCTCCTAAGCTGAATAAATCTGTTTGTTACAGCCATCCATTTGCGGTGTTTCTGTTCGAGCAGCACTAAATAACCAAGACAGGCCTTGACATTGACACAGCAAGCACTAAAAGCCATCACAGGACCCTAAGAGCAAGCTGGGTCAGACAAACCATACAGACCTTCTGAGAGGTCTCAGGTTCACACAGAGGGAAATTGAAAAGTCAATTTTAAAAAGTTAATCCAAAAAATATTTTTTGACTGTGTACTCTGTGCCAGGCTCTGGGCACAGATCAGTGAATACAACAGATAAAAATCCTGCCTTTGTACAATTTACATTCTTAGAGGGTGACCTACTTCAGTAAAGATTAAACCAAACCAAACCCAACCCATTGCCAAGTCATTTGCGACTCATAGCAACTCATTAGGACAGAGTAAAGCTGTTCCATAAGGTTTCCAAGGCTGAAATCTTTATGGAAGTAGCCTGCCTCATCTGTTTCCCACGGAGCAGCTTGTGGGTTCAAACTGCCAACCTTTTGCTTAGCAGTAGAATACCTTAACCACTATGCTACCAGAGTTCCTCCCAATAAAGATTTCAAAACTAAACTCACTGCTGTTGAGTCAGATCCAACTCATAGCGAGCCTTCCTTCGGTTTCCAAGGCAGTATCACTATAGAAGTACATTGCCTATCTTCCTTCCAAGGAGT